GGATCCAAACGTGGATATTCAGGTATACACAGTCCCACCTGCAACTACACTTCCAAGCCAAAAAATTGCCCTTGATACCTTCTGATTGGAACAAATGTTTGGCTCCAAGTGCCACGAGTAACCATATATAGATCCTCTGGAAGGAGGTAGGGAAGCTGTGAAAAAGCTGCAAAGCCTGTCAAAAGCTTTGGCTCTGGAGAGGGTGAGAAAGAGCCCTCCAAGTGCTGATGCTGAGCCTGAGACACTCTGGGTGCAGTGCAGCTCTCTTGGTCTCTTGCATCTCTCTTGGTTGCAGACTCATGAAACAAATACCAGAACTGGTGCCCTATTTTCTTTCTCCATCACCTGAATAAGTCATGTGGAAAGAGGGCAAACGATACATTTTTCAACAAAATAAAGAAATCCCTCTGAGCAGTTCTCATTTACAGCACAATCATAAAAATCCTGGCACAAAATCAAACCATTTCCATATCAGTTGAGCACACACATTGCGAGCACGGCCGGTGTCAGCAGTGCAGGGCCAGGAGACAGAGGCTGCTGTGTTCTTGGTGCTGCAGCTCAGACACAAGATGAAATCATGGGGGTTCAACATTTGAAGACTTAACTACTGCTTTTCTGGCTTTCTGTTTATGCCAGAATAAAACCTGCTTGTGCTTGGAAGAAAAAAGATGGGGTTGTTAGGAATGTGTTTGCATGTGTTTGTCCCTAATTATTTAACAGAACCTTCAAACCCAAGAAATACAACTGCCTACTTCTGCAGAGCTGTAGGAGAGCCTAGCTACAGTGTGTGCTTGCTGGTGGGATGCTTCCAGCACTGTATTTACAAGGGCTGTTTTTTACTGTAATGACCAGAGAATGATTTTGAATGTCATATAAACAGGTGTGTGGTACAGGAAAAAACAACAGGACATGTTTTTGTCCTTGGCTGTATTGTTTATGCCTTTAGCAAGTGCCACTTCTTAGCTTATTCAGTATTAAAAACTTGTTTTCTCTAAATAGTACAGGCCCAGGACACATGGCTGGAACTGAATGTGGAGCATCAGATCTTCTGTTCACCACAGTTTCAGATTTTGGCTTGGGTCAGGAACAAATTAGTCAAATTTTTGAAGTATTTTGGTATATCAATCCTTGTGACTGTTTGGTGTTTGCTTCAGACACTGAGGATAAAGGCAATAGGAAGAATTTCCAGACAGATTCTACGCTTAGTCTGAATTAAGTCAAAAGCCAAATTTCATACAGGGACCTTAAGTTACATACCAGGACCTTAGCCTTTGCTCCTTTAGGAGGTGATCATTTCCAGAAGGTTGGTTTCTGTGGTGCTGTTCTGAATGGCCCAAATCTTGGCTGCCAGACTTGTAGGCTGAGAAGCTTTGAGGCTGCCTGCTGATCCATATCATCAGAATTCTGAGGCTGTTCAGTGAGTCTCAAATTGAGCATCCAAAAGCAGATACACTTTGACTCATTAATCGTTGTGAGAGGTCTTGGCTGAACTGTAGCAATTAAGAGCAATAATTCCCTAGCAGAAAAGAAACATGGTGATGTGTTTTCCAGGACAGATGTGGTGGCTTACATTTATATCAAAGGCATGGCCTTGTTTCACTTTGGAGTTGTAAATCAACATCACCACAACTTTGGGTACCTTGCATGTCTGTGTGTTCACTAGTATTTGATGACACGTCCTTCAATAGTCTCTTTAAAAATCCAAGTCTTCATCTAATAAGACTAAAACTTCACTAAAATAAGACCAAGACTTCACCCCATCCTATATGGGGTGCCAGAATATTGACACTGATATTCTGCTGTGTATTGTAAATCTGCTATTACTGCTGACAGACTTCAGGTTCATCACACCATCAGCTGAAAGTGAGTTTTAAAGAGGTTTTTTTTGTATAAAACTTAAAGGTGATATAGACATGAAATTGTGGAACATTTTGGAGAAGAAATTATGCATAATTTATTGGACACTGTTTGTACAGTCAATTGTGAAGTTATAAATAAGATGCAGGATTAAAACAAGGATGAACGGGTGAGGCTGTGGGTAGTGATTTCCTCTGTAATTCTATTTAAACAAAAAGAGAAGTTTCCAGGCTTGTTCAAACAGTACATTTTGGTTCGGTTGTTGATATTCACAGTGTTGTACCTATTTTTGGGTCTATCACAGTGAAGACTTTCTTCTCCGCCACACAGAGTGCCTTTCCCTCAGTAAGTGTTGTGCAGGCTGCAGGACTGTTCTCAGATCTCAGTGCCCCAGCACAGCCAAGGGGAAACCACAGGGAGGCAAACCAGCCTCTGTTGTACCAGATTCCCAGATCCCAGAGCTCCTGAAGAACAGCTTGACTTGCCTCATGGACAGTCCCTTGGTGGCTGATCCAATTTGGCATCTACCAGTGTGGTAGTTTCTCCCATTGCTTTGGAACTTGAGCTCCCATTTCTTTGTCAGGCACTGGAATATTGTCCAGGAGGTGGTGGAGTTACCATCCTGGGATGTGTTTAAGAACCATCTGGAGGATATGGGTTAGGGTTTTGGGGTTCCAGCAGTGACAGCTTAATGGTTGGACTTAATGATCTTAGAAGTCTTTTCCCACCCTGATGATTCTGTGCTTTTATTTGATGATTCTTTTAGGTGGAGGGCACCCAGGGTTGGCACAGGGATTGGCTCCACAGCCTGTACCAGACAGATGATTTCTGCCAACAGCAAAATGCCTTGAACTGAAGAAATGCTGAACCCATTTAAGGCTACAAAAATTACTTTATTGTGAATACAGTCCATGATTTTTTCAGAATAATTATATCTATATTCTAATTATATTACATGTACATTATATGTGGGTTATTGCTTTGGTGTTCAGGATGAGGCAAGAAAGAGGTTTCTCCTTAGAGCCTCGGAACAGGCTTTTGATCCATGGTGGAGGTGTTTCCTGATGTGAGTAGAAATAGCACAGAGTGGGCCTGATGAAACAACAGAGGTAAAATATATCATTTTGTTATAGGTCATGGGCTGAGCTTCCTTGCAGGTGCTGCAGAGCCATGGGAGGTGCCTGGGTTGAAATCTCCCAGTTCTTTACAAGTGGTGCTGACGCAGAGCTGTGATACTGAGCAAAAACATTCAGACTGCTCAAGAGGAAAGACATGAGCAATTTGAACTTAAGAGTGAAACATTTCCTAGAACTGAGCTTGAATAAAGTCTGGAACAGTTGAACAGGAAATAAGCTAATAATGGGATTTTACAATATGCATTTCCCATATAAGGCATAGAAATGTACCATGGGTTTCGTGGGGTTGGTTGCTGATCTTCTGGCAATTTTGATGACAATTTTAGGTTTCTTCACTGTTTGTGCTCTGTTATGATTGTGAGGACTTTGCTGCATTGATAATAGGACTGGAGCATCTCCCCCATGAGGACAGGCTGAGGAAGTTGGGGCTGTTCAGCCTGGAGAAAAGAAGGTTGTGTGGAGACCTCATTGTAGCCTTCCAGTATCTGAAGGGGCTACAGGGAAGTTGGAGAGTGACTTTGTTAGGAACTGCAGTGACAGGATAAGGGGCAATGGGTATGAACTGAAAGAGAGAAACTTAGGTTAGATATCAGGCAGAAGTTTTCCCTGTGAGGATGGTGAGACACTGTCCCAGGTTGCCCAGGGAGGCTGTGGCTGCCCCAACCCTGGAAGTGTTCACAGCCAGGGTGGCTGAGCATTGAGCCACCTGCTCTGGTGGGAGGTGTCCCTGCCCAGGGCAGGGGGTTGGGGATGGATGATGAACTGAAAGAGAGAAACTTAGGTTAGATATCAGGCAGAAGTTTTCCCTGTGAGGATGGTGAGACACTGTCCCAGGTTGCCCAGGGAGGCTGTGGCTGCCCCAACCCTGGAAGTGTTCACAGCCAGGGTGGCTGAGCATTGAGCCACCTGCTCTGGTGGGAGGTGTCCCTGCCCAGGGCAGGGGGTTGGGGATGGATGATCTATGAGGTCCAACCCCTAAAATTCTATGATTCCATGATTCTCTGATTCCAGACCGAGGTGTTTCATCTTCCCACTGTTCTTGGTGGTCCCTGGATAGACCATTCCTAGGCCAGACCTGGGAAGAGACTAGTTAACAATCCCCTCTCGCTGCCTTTTGTTTGTGCTGGGGAGTTATTTCCTTTAGCCCTTGAGACTGATGCATGGGAAGGGGAAGAGAGGTGCAGAGCTCCCGTCTCAGTGTGCTTCATGCTGCTGAAAATAAGTTCCCCAAAATCTGATTTGGGGAAAGGAAGCCCTGGCTCCACACAGCCTGCTGTCTCCCTCAATAAACAAAGGACTGGAGTTGGGCAAGTTGCCCGAAGTGTTGGTGCAGGGTGTGTTCCCATCCCTACTGCTCTGCTTGGCCTTTTAAGGCTATGTGACAGTAAGCTGGAGGCACAGTAAGGTGTGTAATTCAGCCATGATTAATGAGCACGAGGCTCTTCTGCAGCTTCCCTCCTTCTGTAGCATCGCTCGGATTCCCTTCTCACTGAGATTTTCAGAGTTTGGCCTCTTCTGCACTGAGAGAGAAATCTCCTGCCAGCTCTTATGCTGCATTAATTTAAAGCCATCTACCTTTCCAAATGTACTCTGGACTGTGGAACAGGTTTTGCTTGTAAATGCAAGGCCAGATGTTCAGGAGAGGAGAGATCTCGTTTGGGCATCTGGCAATCACTGCTGGGACACATACCCATCACAGCTGAAAATCCAATGCTGGCTGGTTTGTGCAGTGCTGGAAGAAGTGCCTTTCTGCACATAATTCAGGAGTTCTTTCAAAACTGCATGCACTGAATCATGGTCTCTCTTAGTTTTAAACCACAGCTTGTGCCTAACCAGTTATTTTCATTTCTTGCCGAGCAGGACTTTACTTTTCAGTTCCAGCTAACATCTTCCTTTTTCTGCAAAACTTGTTAACAAAGACTAACTAAACAATGAAGGTAGGTTACTGGCTAGATAAGAAATAGGTCTGATGTTTTACTAAATGTTTCTTTCTTTCTTTTTTTCCAGTGATATATTCGATGCCATGTTCCCTGTTACACACATCGCAGGAGAAACAGTCATACAACAGGGTAATTCCTCCTGTCATTTTACCCCTTGTGTGTTTGCTGAGGTTGTAAGATTCACATCTCTCCATTGGAGATTTCACCTTCTTTGCTTAATAACCATCTTCCAAAAGCATCTCAGCGTGCAGCTCTGTGATAAGGTCATGGATCCAGATCTTTTGCTGCACATGCAGAGTTTTCCTACAAAACCACACTGGGAGATCTCCAACATTTCAAAGTGCTTCAGTTCAATGTAGATAAATAACACTTCAAATTAAAATTTTCATTCCTTAACTGAAGATAGTAGGAAACAAAGCCCAGCTCAGGGTGGCACAGGTTAGCTGAGAGTAATTAGAGATGGAAAATATTTTTCTGGTTGTTGGGAATATTCAACACCTCATTGTGCTGCATTGGAGTTATCACACTTGGCAATTTACCTGCATGCCTACAGCACCTTGTGGAGGACTTCATTACCCTCAGGCTATATTAAAGCCTCTGGTGTGTTTACACTAAATGAAGTGTTGAATCAATCAAACGAGATAAATTAATGCAACTGAAAGATGTTAATAGCAAGAAATCATAACGATACTTTGATTTATGAAGGCAACGAGGCAAGGATGTTTCAGAAAATTAATCTCTCAGTAAGTTAATCTGGTGTACAAACCTGTGCAAATATGTACAGGATTAAATCCAGGGGCAGGAAGTTATTGAATAGCTTGGCAGACCTTCAGGAAACAATCACCTTTTGTGTTTTGCTTCCAGGTGATGAAGGAGACAACTTCTATGTGATTGACCAGGGTGAGGTGGATGTAAGTACACTCTTACAGTGTAATATTTATTTTGAAGCCATGTAGTAAAACTGTGTGCTTTCGCACATAGCTTCATCCACCCATGTGCTGTGGTTGCCTTTCCTTTCTTCTTCAACTACATTTCACAGGATTGGTTTCATTCCTTAGCTTTTGTTGCGCTAAGTCATTTGTTCATAATTTTATAATTGGCATGGTTTACATCCTTAGCTTATTTGTCCATTCCAAGCAGGAAAATATGGTATCAAACCCAAGCAAATGACATTATCTTCAGAGCCCTAACCACACCTGGAGGTGTGCAGTCTTTGGCAGAGTAGGCCACCATGCTGGAATGCACCTGAGGCTTCAGCTCAACCATAAGGAAAATATTTCCTTTAATCAGTTAGCTTAGCTCATGTGTTGTTTGGTTTGGGTTGTTTTTTTTATTTCACAAATTGAGATACAGCCTCAGGCAAGGAGTTTCATCTCAGAAACCTTAATTTGCTTGCAAAATTAGGTCCAAATACAGGAACAATGCAGCATATTAATAAAGCAAGGATTATTCTAAGTGTAAAGTGATCTGTTAGACCACAAAGTGTTTACAGCACCATGCAGTGGTTTCATCAGCAAGTCTTTGAAAAGCAGCTTCTTTCTGAACCTGCTTTCCAAATCATAAACTAGTCACCTCTTATCATTTTTATCCTGTGTGAAACTCACCCTTTTGCAGTTTTGCTACAAAATCCTACACACATCTTAGGTCTCCAGAGTTGTTGGGTAGGACTAGCTTTGCTCATTAGCAGCTTTGCTCTCCAGGTGCCCACATGAGTTTTGTTTGGCATATTTAAAGAAGAAAGTGATTTATTTTAAATCCAGGCAGGAGGCATGGAGTTATTTTAGTGAAAGTTCTTTTTTTTTAGCAGCCTGTTTGTGTCAGGAGACCATCTAATTGGTATTGTTGGGAATTGAGAAACCTCACATGCTGCCTCTAGAAGTTGCTCCTCAGGAAATCCGTCTGACTCACTGTTCCTATCAGACATACCTCTCACTAGCAAACATTGCCACATCCACAGGGCCAGAAAAGAAAAGAGCAATATTTATAGAACAGTGTTAAAATTTAGTTTTGAAATAATTGGGTAGGGACTGATAGGAGCTTAATGAGTTCGCTGGCTTCGAGTCAGAGCCACAAACACACGCAAATGCACATGTTGAAGTTATAGATTAATCCTCTTTAAAAATAATTTGTCCTTGCTTGAAACCTTTTAGGAAAGCCTTCCTCAGCATTTGGCTCAGGGGTAGTGAGGGGTGGAATGACATCAGAAAACAGTCTGCGAAACCTTGCAATTAATTGCAAGAAATATAATATTCCATATGCACATATTGGTCTTACAGAACAGTAACAAAATGGGGGTTCACTGAGCAGACTGCAACTTCAATTTCAGGAGTATTCTCAACCCCAGCTCCCCTAAAATCAGTCTATTGCTGCTAGCATGGATCAAAGTCAAAAGGTTTGTTAGGAAATGCAGTGATAGGACAAGGAGTAATGGGGAAAATTGAAAAAGGGGAAATTTAGATATTAGGAAGAAGTTTTTCCTGTGAGGGTGGTGAGACACTGTCCCAGGTTGCCCAGGGAGGCTGTGGCTGCCCCAACCCTGGCAGTGTTCACAGCCAGGTTGGATGAGCCTTGAGCAACCTGCTCTGGCAGGGATTGGGGTGGGATGATCTATAAGGTCCATTCCAGCCCCTAAAATTCTATGATTCTATGAAAATGGACAGCGTGACCTGTGGGACAAATGCATCCTAACAAGACTTAAGAGATGCTGTTTGACTGAGCTTTTTCCAGGGACAGCCAAAGCTTCTGACCCACTAAGTCTTGCCAAACTCTTCTGTGATCAGCTCTCATGTTGTCCCACTTCAGCCTTTCCCTTCCTGAGTCCTGCTGCACCTTACTCCTGCTCTCCCCAGCTCCTCAGCTTGGTGCTCTCTCCTTCCGAAGCTTTTCCTAAAACTTCAGCCAAATCCCACACTGAATTCCAAAGCAAGATACTGTGGAAGGCACACGGTGTTTCCTCATCCAGGAGCAAGATGCAACTACACCCTGGGAGTTAGAGAAGTTCCCTACATGAACTGTCCTGCTGGGAAGCTGCAGGGACGTGATCCCATTTTCACCCCCGGAGTAAAGTCTGTACCAGGGCCACTAGTGCAGAGTAACTTGCTCCTGCTGTGAGGCAGCAGCTCCCAGACCCCTTGGGCATACACTCACACCTTATTTAGTGCTCCCCAGTAGGGTTCTCCCACTTTCTGGGCAACACTCTTCAAATCCCTGTTGTCTGAAGAAACTCCAGAGTGCTAGTAAGAGAGCTGCAGTTCATTTAAGCCTTGCCAGATACTTTTTTGGCATGCTTCCACACTTCTCCAAGAAAAAAAAAAAGCAACTTGGAGAGTAGACAATTGACCCCGAGACTTAGAGCCTTGAGGCATTTTCTGCCTGGTTCAGCTGGTGTTGGCATGTGCATGGAGGCTTTAACCCCTGGCCAGGCTCTCTGCTGTCAGCAGTTCCCAGATCTTCTTGGAAGTGGCAGGTATCCCAGGTATACAAGGAGCAGTTTCCTCTGAGGACATCATGACTTACAAGCACACAGGTTTTCCATACACATGCAAAGATACATGTGAAGGAGGTCACAAGTGCCATCATAACATTCCCACCCCTGGAAAAAAGTCACGGCATGACCAAAGAAACCCCAATAAAATCTACCAACCAAGCAACTAAAACCAAACAGAAACCACCAAGAAAGCCAGAATAACAAAGTGTGTGGTGTTTTGAGTTAAAAAAAACAAAAACCCTGCAACATTTAAAAGTAATTTGCTGTTAGAGTTTTGGCACAGACATCCCAAAGAGTAAGTAAGATTGTGCTAATATTTTCCCTTACAAAATAATCTGAGTCAAATTAGAAGTGCAATAAAATAGTTTTTAATATAATACCAGTGAATTCTCCACTCTTAGATTTTTCTTAGGGTATAAACAAGCTCTGTTAGCACGGAATAAAGTATCTGTACATTTTCTTCTTGGTATGACTGTGGACAACCAAAGGAGACTCCATATCCTTCTGTTGGCAGGAACACTCAACATGGGCTGTGGGCCAAGTGAAGGGCACAAGTTTTCATATGTAAAAGAAAGGATTTTAGAATCAGGAAATCCCCAGCTCTTGGAGAAGGGTTTTCCTCTCCTACTGTATCCTACAAACCAGGAATAGTTGACAAAGCATTGGATGGAAAAGGACATTATCACATTATCAGTCTCAGTCTTCCCCCTTAGCACATCAGGGTTGAGGAGAACTGTTAACTCGTGGCCTATCCCTGGAGATGGGTAAAGTGTACACTAGATAGCTGATGGCACAGACTTTGAAGTCTTAGAGGTCAATTATCTGCAATAAACTTTTCTGCTCAGACAAATGGGAATGTGTGGCAAAAAGTAGCTGGCAGAGCTTAAATTATAGTTTCCAGTAAAGATGTTGAAAGGACCTGCTAAAATATGACTTGCAAAAAATCTCTAATCCATATTTCTAAATATAAAAATGACTTCCTGGTTATTATTTTCATCTTATAACCTCGCATTTTTTTACTTTAAAAAGCTCCACTGACTCCCCTTTTCAAACAGATGTATTTTATTTTAGACTCAGCAACTTCCTATTCTATTTGATGTCACAGCAACTTTCTCTACAGGCATTCTCAGGTTTTCTTCTTGTAAAACAACAGCAGCCAAAATGCAGCACGGTGAAAATCAAAATCAAAACTTTTCAGGGTTTTTTTTTTCTTCAATGGGTTCTGTATTTACTGTATAAATCTATATGTGGAGCTGTACATGGACAGTGTGGACAGTGGATTAAATAATCTTTGGATTGTAGGTCAAATGTTCTTGAAGTCTTTATTTGTATATACAAAGTGCCTGATTTGTGTATACAAAGATGAAAATTACGTGGAGGTTTATGTGAGAAAACTGCTGGATTTTCAAACTAGTTAGATTTTATGGTTAGATACCATTGATTGCGTCTGGTTTGAATTCTTCCATCACTGATGATTTCTCTGACTCCAGAAGGAAGCCTTTTGAAATTTGGAACAGAACATTTTAAGGTTTGGAGCTTTTCAGCTTGAATTTTTCAGGACTCTCAAAGCACCCTCCAAGTTTGTATATTCAAATTCATACTACAAACAAAGCATTGGCTTTGTCTGACAAAACTACCCACATATAAATACCCCTCATGTCTCAGGCTTGTTTATTTTTCCAAGAATAAGTAAACCTCATCTTCATTTTTGGGTAACAAATATTATGGCTTGACAAGACACAAAGCAAAAATTATTACAAACAGATCCAAGGGAGAAGATTTAAGATATGAAAGTTGCAATGCCTGGAACAAATTAGATTGTCCACATAGATCACGAAGTGGCAGGAAAAAAACTATAATGCTAGAAGTGAACTTGAAATCAGCAATACAGAAGGTAAGGTAAATTCACTCCAGTGAATAGACTGACTTCGTAGACTTCATATCCTTCATATCCCTACCAAGTTCATATCCTGTCTTCAAGGTAAAACAGCTGCATTACTGCTCATATGCAGAAAGGTTCATTTCTGCATATCTAGAGAACATGAAGATGAGTGAGGCCAAGATGCTTTCCTGCTGCATTCAATGTTGTGTGACTGCATCTCCTGCACTTGGTTCCCAAGTGTATCTCAGTCTGTGAAGAAAGGAACTGCTGATGTTCACAGGAGATTCTTCCCATTTGCCTCCCCAAAGAATAATGAACTAAACTAAGTTGTGTGATTCTCAAGCCCACAAAAATTGCAGTGCTCATACTAGATGAGGAAAACCAGTACAAACCTAAAGTACTGTGGAAAGCAGGTGGTCCTGATGGCTTGGTTGTATTTGGGCATCTGCTGTTGCTCTTCAGCTGCATGAAAGAAGGTTCCAGCTATTACTGAGTGTGATCAGCAGGTCAAGTGACACTTAGGAATAATTCACTAATGTACTTGCCACTTTGGTGAGAGTTCACAGATGCCAAAAACTGCCTGAGCCAAAACCTCAGCCCAGCATTTTTTAGGATACAGAGGGAGATCATATGAGCTGCTGCCATATAACATTGGCTTTCATAAGCTGTTCCGAGCCGAAAATAGCTTTGCTTCCCACACCTTACAAACAGAGCGACTTTCCTTTTACTTCTTTTTATAAAATCTATTTCAAAGGGATTTATAATGGAGCTGAACTCTCTGTTAAAGGGCAGGATGGCCTTGTAATGTGCCATCAATGCTCTTTAACTTCATCATCAACACAGAAGTTGATTGTTGGCTTAGGCCTTTGCTGAGAATGAAGTGCAATGGTTTTCCTTCCAGAAAACAACGTATTCCCAAGCTGTTTTCTCTTGCAGAGATTGATATTTGAAATGACAGTTTTATTGGGGGAGTGAATGCTGGGCCCAAAGACTGTCAGATCAGGGCTTTGGTTTCACCTCAGAGTTCTTTCAACCTGACACCCTTAGGGTGCAGGAATGACCATTTGCATAAACTGTTTAAGGCAAGATGTCAAACATGTTTTGAGGAGCCTTGTCAAGTAAGACAGCGAAATTAAAGGAGTCTTAGAGCAGTTCAGTAGTAGCTTCTCTTTATAACAACTACGCAGCAGTAAATGTCCATCCTTCACTTGCTCTAACTTGAATTTTCCCAGTGTAATTCCCCTCTCTGGGCTGCAGTCACCTCCTGCACACTGCCTGAAGAAGAAATGTCACCATATTGCTTAAAAAACAGGTGTTGGAATCAGTTTATTTCCTGCTTCTAATTCAGACCCTTCTGCAATAACCAAACCTGTGTTTTTCAACAAAACAAGCATATAGAGACACATGTATTTTTGGTGTTCTGAAAGAGTGAAGGGTACCATGTCAGTTGGCATTCAGGATGTGGTCCAAGACTCATTGGAATTAGATTTTCCCCATCATCCCTCAAACTTTTTACTGGGATATGGATCAGTGTAGTGTAGGAAGCCCTGGGTCCATCCAGTGAAATCCTCACAGGAGGATATCCCTACAGCCAAATATGCCTCTGGACACTTTTGCAATGAATTAATAGAGTTTGGAAATGTTCATACATTCTCAATGTGTTACAAACCTTTCAGAATCCTCATTCAACCATTTCTCCTGCTTGTCTCACAAAATAAAAATCGAGGAGCCACAGAATTACCTTCTTGTTTTACCAGTAGAGTGCTAGGGTTTGCCTGGCTATTTTTTTTTTTTTTTGATTTTCATTTATTTCATCATGAGAAGAATCAAAAGTAGTTTCAACGTTCTGTGAGATTTTATTTCTGCAATGACTGCAAAAGTTTGAAAGGAAACACTTGTTATTCTCCTGTCTGCCTTCCATTCTGTCATGGTGAAGAAATGAAACTATTGCTTTTGTGGCTTGAGCTCTTTCTTGGTAGTCTCCTACCATGTGCCTGTTTGGGATTATTTTTCCACTTTATTTTTTAGCCCCTTGATCCTCAGATGTTCCAGGAGCACCAGGAGCCACCACATTGCCTGGAGTTCAGCAGTGATGCTAATGCTGCTCCTTTTCAGCTGATACCCAAAAGGACTCTTGATCAGCTGAACTGCTCCATGGCCTCATCCATCTCCTACTGAACCAGCATTTCACTGACCTCAGTAGGAGCTGGAGCAAATCTTAATTGAATATTGTGAAGATAAATGGGGATTGATTCCAGCTGTAGTTTGTAATATGCCTTTTCATCATAAAACCAAGAGAGAAGTAAAATTAATCCTGACAGGCTGTTGAATTTTGACCCCAGTTCATTTATTTTGGTCACCATCTATTCTCATGCCCAGCTTGAACACAGCTCTGATTCATATATTTTTCAAAAACTGCTAGTTTATTACTCAGTAATTGGTGTTGGGTTATGATCTTTGCCTTTGCCATAGTTTTCTGCTTGAGATGAGAATACCTGCCCATTTTCTTCATATTATTTTTCTTCACAGAACTTCATAGTTTCATAGGGGTTGGAATGGACCTCAGAGATCATCTAGTCCCAACCCCCTGCCCTGGGCAGGGACAGCTCTCACCAGAGCAGGTTGCTCAAGGCTTTAGCCAACCTGGCTGTGAACACTGCCAGGGCTGGGTCAGCCACAGCCTCCCTGGGCAACCTGGGCCAGGCCAGGGTCTCCCTCACAGGAAAAACTTCCAAACAAATGAAATTAATTCTGGTTGATTTCTGCTGTTACTGGTCTGTAACAGATTGGGCTTTGTTCTTTCCTGGGTAAATGCCTCTCCTTCCCTCCAAACTCATAGACATGTTGGCAGAATCAAAAGGGGTTATTGTGTGGTTTTTAGCAGCAAGGCTACAAGCAGGATGCAGAATGCACAGTCCACACCATCCTTTGCAAAACAAATGAAATTAATTCTGGTTGATTTCTGCTGTTACTGGTCTGTAACAGATTGGGCTTTGTTCTTTCCTGGGTAAATGCCTCTCCTTCCCTCCAAACTCATAGACATGTTGGCAGAATCAAAAGGGGTTATTGTGTGGTTTTTAGCAGCAAGGCTACAAGCAGGATGCAGAATGCACAGTCCACACCATCCTTTGCATCCTTATGTCTTATGACCTGTGTTGGCCATGAATAGTGAGGAAGACTCAGCCCAGATATGTCACCTTCCTCCATTGAAGGTTTCACACAGCCCTCAACTGCAGGAATTCTCAAATTAAACATCATCCTGCAAAAATACAGCGATTGGGGTATCAGTCCTTATGGTGTGAGAGGATATGTTACCTAAACAGGCTGTGGGTAAACACTGCTTCCTGAGTTAGAGACAAAGGGTAATTCTGCACAGAGCCTCTCAAGTCCAAAACACTTGGTCATCTTCACTAAGGGAGAAGGAAATCTGTAGAGTTATATTTACATGGTTGTTGAAGGCACTAGGCTTAGGAAAGAAAAAACATGTTCCTTTTCAAAAGAGACTTCCTTGTTTTGACTGTTTTACGTTTCATGGCCATGGTGCTTTTCAGCAACCCTCATTACACATATCAACAAATCTCCTTCCTTTCAAGTCTGACAGTGTTAATAAAAAGCCAAAGTTGTGACAGTTCTGCTTGTTGACTGCCTGAGCTTTGAACACAAGAGGGAAAACATGATGCCAGTTAACCATGGGAGCTGAAAACTCAGAGAGTAAATACAGTCATTGTACTGAAACAAGACTTGAAATTCTGTCCACAGAGCAGGTTGTTGCCCTTTTTGGGGACCAACTGCAGAAGCTGTTATGCTCTTGTTTTCCCTCTGTGTCCCTAGCATTGATAATCAGAAAGGAAATTACTAACAACCTTTTAGGTAATTGGCAAGAAATTCATCCAAGTCCCTAAACTGCTTTTGCTTCTTGTTTTGTCTTGTGCTGTGGTAGGTTTATGTCAATGGGGAGTGGGTCACCAGCATCGGAGAAGGAGGCAGCTTTGGGGAGCTGGCACTGATCTATGGGACACCTAGGGCTGCCACTGTCAAGGCCAAGACAGATCTGAAGCTCTGGGGCATCGACAGAGACAGCTACAGACGCATTTTAATGGTAAGTTGATGGAGTTGATGTTTTTACTTTCTTTTGTAGCACCAGCACTTCTGTGTTCAGAGTACTCTGCTGATAAAAGGCTGCACAGTCTGTTTCTGCATAAAAGACAGTGGACATAACAATAACATTGAGTAACTAAATTGAGCTGAAAGAAAAGAGGACAAGATTCAGCAGAAAGAAGCTGAGTCAGAGATTCAATTGAGTAACATTATGCATAACTGTTAGACATGAATGAAAACCTCAGGAGGCCTCGGGTACCCACCGAAGCTATGCAAATCCTCTCCTGATAGTGAGCTTGAAATGTCTTTCAGCAGCACCCTTTGCCTGTGAAGTCTTTGTCTGAACTTGTATTGTATTCTTCAAGGCAGGTGATAGAAGGTAAATGCAGCTCTGATGGAATAATCAAGATGTCTGGGTTGGACTGTGCTCTCCATCTCGGTTAGAAACAGCCACATCTATCATGGCATGGTAGCTGCAGAGTCCCTGCTAATGATTCATTGCTCTGCTCCTTTCCCACTCCCTCATCCCTGCAGCAAAGCTGCCTTTGTGGCACCTGGGGTGTGTGCTAGCTTATGGATTTGCTGTTGGTTCTGAAGTGGTGAGTTTATAATGGAAACTTTGACAGATAATTAACTTCAGCAAAGTCATAACTTTTTTACGAGTTTGTTTCCAGTGTCCATGTGCATATCTTCCTTCTCCGTGAAATATTCCTTTCTTTTTTGATAATTAACAGACATCACTGTGTAAAGCTTCTTTCTCCATTGGCTTCTCTCTAAAAGCTGCATTGTTTCCTTCTGATCTGAAGGAAATGGCACTGTGCTCTCAGAGTCATAAAGGAGTGTGCATTTTGAGACGTGCGTGTTTCCAGCTGATGTCATGGAAAACAGAAAAACTAGCAGAGGAATTGAATAGATTTTACACTTAAATGATTAGTTGTTAGGCAGCAGAGTGTGAGAGTGATCTTTGTTTATCCTGTGTGATGACTGTTGGATGTCTGCATGAAGCATTGCTGGTGTGCAGTCCCTATTTCATGGGCTGAGTTGTGTGTCACATAAACAAACATCAAACTGACATCTAGGAAAGTACATCTGATGGAAGTTTACTCTGTTCCAAAATACTCAGCCTTATGGCTCCAAGAGAAAATAGAGGAATAATGATGAGAAGTGTGCTGTCTTCTCTCTTGTGGGCAAGCAGGATGAATAGTTTTGAAAGCTTCCCAGTGCAGGGAAACAGGCAGAGGTATTTCTAAAAGGTGAAACATAGAGAAGAAATCTCCTTTCTCTGAAGATATTTAAGAGGCACACCCAATTTACTTGTCCCATGTCCTACATGGCTGCAATGGGGGGATGTCTGGGATAACTGATGAACCTGCATGGGCCAAGGAAGAATCCAAGGTATAAAGGAGAAGGAATGTAGGAGGGAAAGGAATGAAAGTCACATATCCCTTGGCTTTTTAAGCAGAGCTTTTTGCAGCTACCTGTAACCTTGCTAGTAAGGAATTGAAGGGACAGATTCACAGGCTTTGTAGCCTGGAGGTGATTTCAGTGTTAGTGGTGATAAAACTAGTGGTACTTAACATGGTCCAGCCCTGTGAGCTGTCAGGTCCATTCCCATCTGCTAGCAGCCTTCAGAAGATGAATATTTGATGCAGAGACAGGATTTTGCTAAAAAGGCTTTACAGTCCCAAGTGGAAAAGACTGTGTTTTTAATGCTAGCTTTGGTCATACATACAACTTGAGTATTATGGATACACTTCTGTTTGATTCTAGTGGAGTCCTAAGTGCTTTTCAAATTAACTTACATCTTCTCTGGACCAGTGACTGCTGTATATTACTCAGCAAGCTCAGTTTCTGCAGTTGATGAGACCTTTAAATTAACATGGACTTGTTTCTCTTTCTCTCTCTTTTCTTGTTGTTTTTTTTCCCACAGTTGAGGCTGTTAAAAATCACATTAGATCCCCAGACAGCATTATTGTAGCATTCCCAATACTCAGATAGGAAATATTTCAAGTGGAATGGTGAATTAATTGCTGCAGGTCTAGAAAATGTCCAGTTTCAAATGCTGTCTATGGTGGAGGCAGTTTACCCATCCAAACTACATGAATCTTGTTATCTTTCCATTTATTTGTAGGTGCAGAGTGGGTAATTTCTTTGCTGTAGGTGAGATGAGACACCTCTCTTTGTGCAGTCATGTGAGGGCAGGTTACAGTGGCTCTCTGCACATTTCCTCCAGCCTAGGAATTAATTGCATCATGTTCCAGTGGCTGCATTTCATATTTGAAGCTAACTTCACCATTCCAAGCCTGGTTTTGCTGTACTCACTTTCAAGTGTAGTGGTAGCTGCTTTTCAAGTCCCAGAACATGGTTTCTGCCATTTAGTCCCTAACCCAATTTTTTTTTTTCTGGTTGCAAATCCTTATGTCTAAGGGATCAATGACCTTTTTGTCCCAAAGATTTGGGGGTTGTGTATAGTCAGATAAAGCTCCTCCATAACCTGAGGTAGTTATTTTCTCTCATCTGCATTCCTTCCCAGCCATGACCAACCTCGTGTTTCCTCAGCCTAGTGTTGAAATTTTATTTGAGTTGTACATATTTATTAGCAAATCATGCCCTCAGATCCACACTTGCCAGAAAGATTTTATCCTGTCATGAGACACTTGACTCTACCTCATTTCTCCTTGCAGCTTCTTTGCTTTGCATTTAGTAATTTCTAGTTTTTATTTCTCCTTAGTGCCATTTTCCCCAGTTATGTGTCTCATTGATCCAGACTGGTTTATGGTATGAATAAAATGCATCTCAGGAGGTTTGCAGATTGGGTTTTCCTTTTTATGGCTGAGCAAAGCCTGATGCAGAAAGTTCC